AGCAGAGAGTTATGTTAGTAGGTGATGGTGGTGGTACCAACAACATCAACAGCAGCAGTAACAACAACTGTGATAGAAAATGAGTTTTGCACCAATTCCTTGTTTTTTATTTTAGTGGCTGGCTTGCTTTTAAATTGCATTAGCATGTTGGAAAATAAGGTGCAGTATTTTTTATATATTCACTTCACCATGTACTTTACTGGAAATGAGTGGTTTTTGAGAAACGTGCAGATGAAACATTTATATATACCTTGACAAAGAAAGCAAAGAAAATTGACCACATCCTGGTACATAAGGCAAATGTGGTCTGTCTCCAGACTGAAGATAACAATACTTCTGAAAAGATATATTGCAATAGCAAGCCTGTAATCTACGTACTGAGGAACCCAACACTTTGTAGGAAAATGCTCCACGTTAAAGCATAGAGATTCAAGGAACAGCCTTATCCTGAGAGTAAACCTTGGCCCATTTAGCCCAAGTTTCTGGCAAAGTGGGTCTCCCTCCTGTAGGGGTAGGAAAAACCTACTCCCACATTTCACTTTTTAAAACCTTAAACCTTTTCCACCATGCAAGTGAAGAAATTGGTAAATATACCAATAACAAGCTGGAATTAAATTCAGTTCCTTCTGTGTCAGCCAAATTCTATTGGCACAGCTATTGCAGTGTGGAAAGGAGCATGTACCTCACCAACTATGGATATTGAACTTGCTTAATTATATGCTGGGGAGGTGCTTACAAATGTAGAAGTGGGAACTTTAATTTCATGATAACATGGCTGAGTATAAAAGTGTTCAAACCCAGATTTTAAGAATCGTCTCTTCAAAACTGTCTTCAAAACAGACAAATCTGTCGCTTACTGTTTCTTCCACATCCATTTAAAAAAAACAACGCTCAAGTTACCGTATTTCTATCCTGAATGTGAAGAAATCTGTGAATTTTGGAAAATTCTTAGCGAAAATAATGGAAATAGAATTTTCACCCTTCCTTACTTTCCAAGCTTAAAAGCACAGGCCTTTTCTAGTCAGAAGTTTGAGAAGTTGCATTTCTGAACCACAACTGTTGGAATTCCACAGCCATGCTGTCTGGCAGATTCTAGGAACTGTGGTCTCTAATGTAAATGTTCTGTTCTTGACCTCTCTACCTGCAACATTTGGATTTAAACCTGAGATTACCTGTGTGGGGGTAAAGGAGGACACTGTGACTCTAGTTTTGGATTCTTGTGGGCAGAGCTGATCTTACCATAAAACAGATTGCCTCAGGCAGCAAGTGTTTGGTGACATGCAATGCTTGGCTTTCTGGTCTGCTGTCAGTAGTACACCTTTCTGCAATAATGGAGCAATATTCAACCTCTTGTCTAGCCAAGGTTTCATAGGGGAAAACTAGGAGTTCATCTTTGTCTCATGCAGTAAACTACTTTTGGACAAGCTTGCTTGTAGGCTCTGAGGAATAAATACTGGATTACGTTGTGATAATCAGATTCTTCTCCTGAGAACAAATTGCCGCATTTGTCTGCCATTCAGACATTCTTTGCCAAAATGTGTGAGCTGTACTTGCAGAACAAGGAATTGTTTTGGTTTCCACTGCTTACTTCATAGGAGGGTTGTCAGGCTGTGAAATTTTGTATATAGAGAGTGTTAAAAAAATTAAAGGGAAGTGTAGAAAAAGCAGCCCTGAAAATGTATGTTGTATTTTTAAAAAGAGGTTTGAACAGCAGTTTACTAAAATTACTGCAACACAATTAGCCATCTATCTAGCTGAGTCTGGAAGCAAGGTCGGTTTGTATGATAACATTGCCTTGCAAAGGAATTTCTTTCATTGCTGGTAGTTCAGCGTGGATGTAAACAAAGGAAAGAATAGAAAATGTATTGAAATAAGTAAAATATTTCAAGCATTAACATGACAAATAGGTGGCATTTGCAGAGCATGTGATTTCCTCTGTCTTTCCTGTGATACCTTGGTATATTAATCCCAGCACTTTGTTCCTTCTCTGAGTTACTATCTTCAGAGTTGTAGTCAGTGCAAACTGCTGTTAGACAAAACAATAATGCTGATTGTCATAGTGGCAGCTTGCCAGATTTGGAATTACAGGAGTCATAGTTTACATGAATTGTAAAAGCAATGGAAATTCTTATTATAAAAATGTCTCCTGGTACTGTATATCGGGATCCTGTACATATAGGTCCAGCGAAAGTCAGATGTTTACATCAAAAAGAAGTGAGATAGGAGACAAAGATACATGAATTCATCATCATCATCACAACAACAAGACATAACACATACTGGATACCAACAACACTGATACTAGAAAGCAGTATTATGTAGCAGCAGCAACAGTGGAAGCAGACAAGGACAACATGGATTTTCCTCCATAGATTCAAACTGGCTTGGCTGGGTGTGCAAGTAACTTTCTGTGTGTCATTTATAATATTCTTAAAGGCTAAGCCTTTGAGTCATTTTTCTTTAATATATTCTTACTTTTAAAAACTTCGATATTTGAAGAGATGTGTTTTCTGCCTTTCGATTGTGCCTTCTAAGGCTATAAACTTTTGCATTTTTAAAACACTTTTGCCTTTTTTGAACATTCTGACTTTTTTGGTATTTTTATTGTACCTTTTATGCTCTGTACAGGGACGTGGTGGCACTGTAGGTTAAACCGCAAAAGCCTCTGCGCTGCAAGGTCAGAAGACCAGCAGTCGTAAGATTGAATCCACGCGATGGAATGAGCTCCCGTCGCTTTGTCCCAGCTCCTCATCAACCTAGCAGTTCGAAAGCATGCAAATGCGAGTAGATAAATAGGTACCACCTCGGTGGGAAGGTAACAGCGTTCCATGCCTGTCGCGCTGTTCACATGACCACGGAAACTGTCTTCAGACAAACGCTGGCTCTACGGCTTGGAAACGGGGATGAGCACCGCCCCCTAGAGTCGGACAGACTGACTAAATGTCAAGGGGAACCTTTATCTTTACCTTATGCTTTTACGGCTTTAGAGTATGTTTATGCTTATGGAACAACAACAACCATCATATCATTTTAGAACTGCAGATCTAGAAGAGATTCTATGGATCATCAAGGAGACACAGTCGGGAATCGAACTCCCAACCACAGCTGGAGACCTACACCACTGAGCTAGCCAGGGATATAGAAACAATGTAATATTGTAGAGCTAAACAAACTGGTGATGCCTGGAATCATTACAACAAGACTTATAACTTGATGGCCAGATGAATTTTGATATGATTGGAAACAATTGTCTGATTTCATTTTTCCTAGAGAGCTCTTGGGGAAATGTTCAGGCATCAGTCTCTCTGACCTGATAGAGTGAAAGGCATGGTACTTAGAAAAGCGATTCCTTCTAGGAGAACAGGTCTAAACATGGCATTTTCATAAATTGCAACATAGTGCATCATGTTGATTTTTATATCTAGCTCTTTCAGCTGCAGTGTCAGAGCTCTGAACAGAATACAGAATATGTTTTTTATGTCGAATTGCACAAATGAATAGCTCAAAGCAACAGTTCTGTTGCAGGGGTGAAGCAAGTACAGCCTCAGGACTTTTTCTTTTCTTTTCTTTTCTTTTCATCTTTTCTTTTCTCTTCTGCTTTGCTTTGCTTTCTTTTTCTTTTTCTTTTTTTTTTTTGAGTGTTGAATAGGTAGACTTTTGTTAGAACTCTGAGATTTCTGACTTTTATTTATTTATTTTAAAAAGTACATGTTTTGAATCCTCAGAGTTATGGCTTGAAAGCTTAAAGTTAGGAAGCAGAATAGCAACAAATGCTGAAGAAGAGAAAAATGTGTTTAAAATTTTTTTCCAAGGTAGGCAATTGCAATAATCTGGAATTCCGGTCCCACCCGTATAGTCACCTTTCAGGTAGAGGCCACATTCTGTGCTATTGGTATTGCCCAGTGGTATTTTGTGTGTCAAAATAACTTGGTTATCTTTAGATCTGGTGAACCTTGATCTCGATGGGCAGGTGAACTATTTGCTGCTCCACCTTAGGCAGCAAAACACTTTGGGCCATCCTCTGGGGCGTCAGTCTTGGATTAATATATACAGGATATAGATACACATCTATATTTATATCTGAGTGGCTAAGTGGTGTATTTTATTGATCTGCTTTCATTTTGCTTTTAATTGAATTGTGTTTTAATATTATTTGTCGTACTCTTTTTTAACATTATGACTTCTGTGTGCAATTGTATTTTATACCTTTTTAAAAAGTTAATCATGAACTGCCATGAACCCCAGTTTGGGGGAAATGGAGGAGAGAAATACGAGTCAACCAGTCAAAGCAACTATATCACATTCACAAAAGTGTATGGTTTCTAGGAAAATCATTGCAGCTATTTTCAGAAGGAATAGGGCAGCCTAAGGAGGATGGCAGATTATATAATCCCTGTTAATTAAAAGGTCTCATGGGTTCAAGCCCACGAGCCGTGGCTGTACTACAGCCCTGCCTGTGCAACTTGTGCAAATCCATTCTTTAACAATGATTATGTGCCATTCACTTATGGCAACCTTGCTCAAGGTTTCCTAGGTATAAAGTGTTGATAAGTGGCTTGTCCATACCACCTTCTCCTGGTGCCCTGTGACTATGCAGCTTGTCCAAAACTACATGCACCTCAACCCATACGCCTTCCAAGTGATCTTAGCGGGCCCTTCTCCTGGGAAACAATGGGGATTCAAGTTCCCAACCACCACTCTGCAGGCAAGCGCTCCAACCCACTGAGCTATATCTTGTGCATAAATGTTTGGTTTAGATTGTTTCAGAATGGTGAGGAATAGAGAACAGAGGGTAGAATGAAAGAGATGAAAATGAGATGGTAGCTTTCCTCTTAACACACTGTATCCATTTGTTGATGTTTCCTCATTATCCCATTTGGAGAGCAGGACAGCAGATCTGGGGTGAGAATCCAACATACTTCCCAATGCTTGGTTTAGGATTCAGATAACATGACCACTTGAGCAATGAATGACAATTGGTTTCCATACTTCCCTTGCAGGTGAGGATGATGAAGATGCAAATGTGCTGATCCTCAGCTACCCACAATACTGTCGCTATCGTTCTATGTTGAAACGCATCCAAGGAAAGCCATCCTCTGTACAAGCAGACCAGTTTGTGTTAGCCCTTGGAGGGATTGCCGTAATCAGCAAGAATCCACAGATCCTCTACTGTCGAGATACGTTCGAGCATCCAACTCTTACGGAAAATGAGACTGTATGTGATGAGTTTGGTAAGTCACTTTTTGTCTTGTTTGTTATTACCATTTCCCCCTTCACCCTAAATGGAAATTAGTGATAATGGAAGAACTGTTCCAAAATAGCACAGAAGTATGTATTTCAGTTGCTGGGTAACTGCTGTAATCCATTGTCAGAGATGAAGGAGGCATTTGTAACTATTTCAAATTATGATTAAAAATATCTTAGGAGAGCAATGTCAGGTGAGTCGCCTCGTTAGCGCATGGGTGAAACCGAGTTTAAACCTAACTTTTCAGCAACTCCCTTTGTTATTTTTACTGGTTTCTTGGAATTTACCCAAATGTGCATTGGGCACCACAACCATCAAGCTCTAGTGTCATAAAACAGCAGTTCCATCACATTGTTGTTTCTGTATGGGACTTGAAGTTTTTTGTGTTCATGAAAGGGGAGCCACAGACTTATATGAATGTGTAGTTTCTGCGTTACATCACTTATGCAATTCAGGCCAGTAGTGTAGCACATTAGGTCAAGTTGGCTGTGAGACATCACCAGTACCAAATTCTCAAAACCTTCTTTGCAGTGGTGCACTGTAGTGATTAAAACTGTTCTAAATCCAGAAAGAACAGAGGGCAGTGCTTTTATTGGACCACTGAAGTATCACAAACAGGTGAAATTTCAAGTCCTGCAGGACTTGTCCTCAAGCCAAGCCTGCAAGAGCTTGGTGGAACTGGGAGGAACAGTAAAGTCCAAACATCATCCTGGTCAGATGCGGTGGCTTCAAGATTTGTAGTTAAAGTCCCAAGATGGAGGCTGCAAACTTGTGAAACCAGCTGACAGGGCACATTTCATCTTAAAGGATGCAAATTCATCTATCTTTCTCCAGTTCTAAAGACTAAAAGGTGCCTAAGACTTTCAATTCTTTATACTTTGCTTCAGTCACACTGTCCAGGATGTACATGTTTGAAAATCCCAACCTATTACTTTGATGAATGGTTTTAGTGCACCTGGAATTATAGCCTCCAAAACTAGCTGTTCCCATCTCTGGGCCTCCTTGAGATTAAGGAAGGATGCTCAATAGTTGTTTAGGCTGGTTTGCTCTCATGATATACTAAAAATTGCAAAGTCTGCTGAGTACGTTATTCATACACAATATATATAGTGGCCTGATATAATTCTGTTTGTGTGTTAGTAAAGGTACTGTGTCAGTTTCAATGCAAATGATAGTATGGAGCTGATAAAGCCCTGTTTTCAATCCTGTCCTCCCCTCACCCTCCAGCCTGAAACAGAGCAATAAAATGTACTACACTGGGTTACGCAAACAGTTTACACTGATACCATGTAGATGGATGTCACATGTATCAAGAGATGACAGCTAAATCTAAACACAGGCATGGTGGTACAGTAGATAAATGGATTGCTTTAAGGTACTGTTGTTTATCAATCAGATGGGGACAGGGGAGACTAGATTACTAGAATGTCAGTGGAATTGCAACATGTAAAAAAAATAGGCCAAATGCCTTGAATTTTCAGGACAGTTTTGTTTTGTTTTGTTTCTGCTCTTTTTGTTAAGACTAGCAAAGGCATTTGAGGAAAGGATGCCCACAGAGATTAGGTCAGTTTACAGATCTTGCATAAAAAGAAGTTATGCTAGAGGAATCAAATGAAGAAAGGCAGGCAGCAAAAATAACCAACAATAGGAAAATATGCCCTGTACGTATGTACAGCTTAGATACAAAAAGTGCAGAAGTCCAGGGTGGGAAAACAGTCTGGCAAATAAATGAGGGCTCTTAAGTAATTAGCAAGTGTGAGATGCCACATTGATTCACACAGTTTGCAACATATGTCTACTGTATTAACCAACCATTGTCACTTTGTCCTCTGTATCCTCCCCAAGCCATGGGGCCATGTATAAATGATTGCCGTATAGTCTCACCCTTGTGTCTGAGGAAGTGGACTTGATCCATGAAAGCTCACATGAAAATATAGTGCTTAGTCTTTATGGTCTCACAAAGTTTTTCTCTCCTTTTGTTTATGTTTTTGTTTTTAATTCTTGTGTGATGTGCTTGCCCAAACTGACATGGCTACCACTTCAAAGATGGAAAATTACTGTAGACCAAGGAGCTCAGTCAGAACTGGGCTTTACTAGAGTGTATATACATGTACGTACTGTATGTGTGTATGTATTTTCAACACAATTGATTGGAGTCATTCTGTGGACCACACTGTCTACTGTAAGTCAGTGTTTCTCAAACCTTCGGCACCAGCTGTGCTGGCCAGGGTTTCGGGAAGTTGAAGTCCAAGAACACCTGCGTTACCCAAGGTTGGGAACCATTGATCTAAGTGGCAGATACAGTTTGTTGTAAATTAGGTAGGAAAACATCTCAACAAAGAACTCATTCTGCTTAGGACTTGAATTGTTCTACTTCTTGAAAGCTTTAACAGGAATAAATGCTTTACCATAAAGCTTGTTTCCTGTTCTTTTACTGAAAATTGTGCACTTTAAACCATTTAATTTTTTAATAATTTCCTCCCCTTCTCAGTTCTGAACTAAAAGGAGTGGGAAAGAATTGAGGAGAACAAGAGAGTTGTATTTTGTTTGCTAACGAAGTAAAGTTAGAAGTTGCATTAAGGAGGTAAAGCGGCGGGAAATAGTTTAATAAATTATCCGCAATATTGTTATTAGACAGTAGTCTAATGCAGTGGTTCTTAACCTTTGTTACTCGGATGTTTTTGAACTGCAACTCCCAGAAACCCCAGCCAGCACAGTTGGTGGTGAAGGCTTCTGGGAGTTGCAGTCCAAAACTCCTGAGTAACCCAAGGTTAAGAACCAGTGGTCTAATGTGTGTGAGTTTTTTTCTTTGTATATTTTTGTTGCAACAAATGCAGGAATAAATTATTAGCATCGATTGTGCCCTGTTGTTAAATTAACCATGTAAAATTATATATTTTATGTATAAAATGATAAATTAATAAATATTATAATTTTAATTTCCCCAAAATCAGTTTCATTGTACTGTTTCAAATATATTCCTTTGCCTACAATTGTTGAAAAAGGAAAAGAAAAGCCTTTGCCTACATTGATGGCCCTGCCTAAGGAGTAACCTTTTATTTTATTTATTTATCAAAACATTTTTAATCCATTCTATACTGATAGATCCCATGACAGAGTACAATCCAGAAAATCACGTTAAAAGAATCTAAAATAATTAAAATACTCTAAAGCAATTTAAAACATCATTTAAAAATTAAAACTATTTAACAATTTCTCTCTCTCTCATGCACCAAACTATGTGAAGTATGACAATGTTGCTGCCCCGTCATTACTGAGTATGAACTGAGAGTCCCCCTAAAAACATCGACCAGACCAGATGGGCGGGATATAAATGAAATAAATAAATAAATAAATAATAAACATCCTACCATTTCTTATAAAGAAAATTTTCTCACGAAGGACTTCTGGCTTGCTGGGAAGTTTCATCTTTTCTCGGTGTCAGGATCCTCCAAGATCATGTTGAATTCACAATGAAATGTCTTCAAAGGTGTATAGTTACCACAGTGGTACTCTAGTTCCCTAAATACAGGTGCCTGATTTCCATGTTGTACAAAAATGTATGCATACTTTTAAAAATAACTCAGTCTTTTCTAAGGCTTTCAGAAGTAATGTTTGATTGGAAATCAAGGTTTGCTTGTGCTTGGTGCCTTATTTTAGAAGTGAAACTGCATTTTATAGATAGGTGTGTCACTCTTCTATGGCCATGTCTTTATGGCTCAACACACATACACCCGTATCTATTATGACGGTGACTTCACTCATTGGCTAAAACCATTTAAAAGCCAATATTAGGTTCATTTAGCATTTTGAGAGATAACTGGTGCACACTTTGTTTTAGCAGCTAGAGACTTACTTTTTGTATATTATGTGCTGTCAAGTGGATTCCATGTTGTGGTGACTGTAGTAGGGTTTCCAAGGTATATCAGATGTTTAAAGGTGTGGCTTTACCATTGCCGTACATCCTTCCCCCCCCCCAACAGGTTTTCATGGGCTGGTGGGGATCTGAATCCAGGTCTTTTGAGCCCTGGTCCAACACTCTGTCCATTCTATTACACTGCCTCTTGCCTTGCTTTATAAACAGTTTTTATGAAGCCTAGGACCATGGGGCATCTGATGGTATGTATATATGGACACCCAATTGTACAAAAGTTTACTAAGGTCGCCACATCTGAGGACACTGGTTGGAGCTTCAGGGAATGGCTTTACTTCTTCACATCTCCAAGTAGGGAGACAAATGTCAAGGCTGGAGGGAGAGAAAATTTGTTATCACTCTATGTGGTAGCTTTAATACACATCTTCTCCCCACTCAAAGTGACCATGTTGACTGGCTCAGTGCAAAGGCAGTTCTGGATATGGTGCACATGTGATACATGTTTACGATGTAGTGTAGGAAACCACGTTTGTCACACAGACCTCTTGCCCAGAATCCTATTATTTACTTACACTGGCATTAAGTCAGATGGCATAACAGCGGTGAATTGCCACAAGTTAAATAGTTGATGCTTGTATTTCCTGATGGTTGTTGTGGGTTTTTTGGGCTCTTTGGCCATGTTCTGAAGGTTGTTCTTCCTAACATTTCGCCAGTCTCTGTGGCCGGCACCTTCGGAGCACAAGGCTTGTCCTCTGAAGATGCCGGCCACAGAGACTGGCGAAACGTTAGGAAGAACAACTTTCAGATCATGGCCAAAGAGCCTGAAAAACCCACAACAACCATCAGATCCCCGCTGTGAAAGCCTTCGAGAATACCTTGTATTTCCTCTTAGGTACCCATCTTGTCACTTGGTGCGCAACAAGAAATGCAAGCTTTAGTTTATCAACTGGTGGCAATTGGCTGCTGAGATGGCTGCTGTTGGGCTTGTAACTAAGTAGTTGGGTTTTGGCTAGTATTCTACACTTAATTTGTGAGGGTCTGTCCCTTGTAACATGACAGGGATCCACAATTTTGGCTTTGAAATCTCAGGGAGTTGGAAGTTGCTAGCCTGA